GAGAGAGAGAGAGAGAGAGAGAGAGAGAGAGAGAAGGAGTGGTGAAAACAAGATAGATATACGAGGGGCATACCAAAATTTTTTTATCTGACCATGAAGGAATAAAAGTAGAAAGCTGAAATTAGGTACTAAGCTTATTCTTTCTTTATGTAGTTGCCTCCCAGAGTTATACATCTGTGTATGACCTTGAAAAGACCTTGAGAAAAGAGGACCCTCTCTATGTCAGAAAACCAGCCCTCTACCGCGTCGTTGACCTCATAATCATTTTTTTTACACCAAAATGCTTATCACAGCATAGGATGGGCAATCAGTTCCATATATGGCATGCATCTCCGTAAAAATCTCCTGTAGTTGCTTGCCTTGCAAGAAGAAATACTTCATTACTGCACTGCGCTCAATTTTCTCAATTTTTGTGATGAAACTGGAGTACAACATACCCCCTTACAATGCGCTGGTGGTAAAAACAGTAATCTGAAATTCCCCAAAATTTACAAGCATTCTAGGAAGATGATTGTTGGCTTTCAGTCATGAGGGGGGAAAAAGTCTCTGGCTGAGGCATATACAATATTCAAAGAAACATCACTTATACTATATTGCCTGTGTAAACAAAAGAAACGATTTTTCTCGTGGGGAAAACGCTTTATCGAGTATATCCACATTATGTCTTCTGAGACGCCCTATACCGTTCAACCAGGATGACCTTGACACCCAGGTTCTAACTGAATAGCAGTGATTGATGATGACAATTTGAGAGGATAAAGCATGCCGCCTCATTAATGATATAAACTGTAACGAATGGGAAGTAACAATTTTACCATCAATCATCGTAAGTGGTTGGCGGGTGCTCAGGTGTGGTTTGCTCTTTCTTATCAAACGTCGATCGTCCTTTCTTTTCTCCTCCTTTTCTTTTTTTGTTTTGTTTGTTCGTTACTCTCTTGAAACGCCTCTAATCATCAGCACTTTTATGACCTAAATGTGTTGAAAGCGCTGTAATACTTTACAAAAAGCTAAAACAAAAACCAAACCAATCACCTCCAGAGACATAACTGCATCCAGGTCAGCCAACACGGACTCAATCTTGCCCAAGTCTTGGGCCAGGAGATACTCAAACAGCCTCTGCCTCTGGTCATTCCTTGGCCTGCTGATCGAACCTTCGAAGAACATCGTGTCCAGACGTGTGAGGAGCTTGACCCCTCGACCCCTAGTTGACCACGCCGCTTCGTCCCTCCTTGCCATGATCACAGGGATGTTTTCCTCCATATACGGGCCGTGCATGCCACTGGTTGAGTCCATGTATCTGGTGGGGCGGACAATGGTTGATTAGGAGTATTAGTATGGCCTTTTAGCTCATTTGTTAGCTTTTAAGCACAAGGGGCTATCCCGAAAAATGCTGTTTTGAGAAAATTGATGGTAAAGTTTTGGCCCTTTTTTCAGTTTCTTTGAAAGACCAGGAGTGTTTTCTTTATAACCAAACAAACATACACACCAATGAAACCAAACTTCTCCTATAGGTAGGGCAATGCCCACTTTTGGTGTAAGTCCAGATTTCTGGCAACCCCCGCTTGTCCTTAAAAGCGACCATTTGTCGTCATTTAAAAAGCAAGGCGAGATGTTAAGAATATTTGAGAATCTGATCTCCGTTTAAATGTCTGGAATACTTTTGTAGTCATTAGATACGCAGATGAGAGTAACAGTGTGTGTGTGTGTGTGGGGGGGGGGGGGGTGCTTTCCCGTGGGGGTGATGCTTTCTTTGGGGGTGGGGGATTATCTTATAACGAATGATTTATTTTCGTTTTACGAATAACCGCTACTAGTTTTAATGTTTGTTCACAATGCGTCTACAGTTGAGTTAATGTTATAGTTAAGTCAGGGCGTAATAATAAAATGTTCTCAATGCGCTGGGATCCATCTACCTAAATCTGCGTTTGTGACAAACCTCAAAACTTGAGCACCGCCGATACCGATTCCGTCAACTCCTGCGAACACGGCATGCTGGATCTCATCAAACTTGAAGCCAGCCGAAAAGTAGGTCACGATTCCCTGTGGTTATAGGACAAATGATGAGTATAGTGTTTAACATTATTATTATAGTTGCAGTAACGATATGAAAGGGAAAAAACAAATACCAAAAAACGATATAAAAGAAAACACTCGTCCTGAAAACATAAGGGGAAAGGGGGAAAAAAAAGAAAAAACCAATTTAAAAAAAACCATTTTCATTTCTTTAGATTCTTTGAACGTTTATTTATTAGTAAGTAACCTTTGACCTGGTTCCTGATAAAATTATTTAAGATAAGAACACACCTTTCCCCAGGCTGTGTTCGATCGGAAACTAAAAAAATAATATTCAGCACCCTAGATTTGAATCAAAGTAACTCAGATTTAAACCGACTGCGTTGAATCTTACTTCCAAGAAACGAAACAAAGGTTGTGGGTGGTTGACGGGTGCTCTGGTGTGGTTTGATTTTTCTGTCCTATCAAACATCTATCGTCCTTATCTCTCCTCCGGAGGAGAGTGTGAGTGTTGTTCTCTCCTCCTTCTTTTTTCTGTTTGTTACTCTCTTGTAACACCTCTAATCATTCGGCACCTATAATAGTAATATGACCTTATTGTGTCGCAAGTGCAGTAAAACTCTTACTAAAACTAAAACAAAGGTTGCTGAGGGAAGGGGGAAATTCTTATTGAAGCTGACATAGCGTAATAAAACAACTGCCTAAAGTAACATTTTTAAAAAATAGTTGGTACCTGTTCATGGGCAACATGGTTCAGGGTCAGTGCCTCTTCAAAGGTCAGCTGGTACATGATGCACTTGGACGGGTAGGTGTCGCTGGCTCCATCCCACGTGACCTTGTCAAACCCTCCCAGGGCGGTGATCTCGATGGCTCTATTGGCGATCTCGATTCGTTCCTTGAGCTCACGGGTCGCAGCCCGGTCATGGTCATCCAGTACAATCTGGGGATGGGAGAGGGAGTGTTGCTCATTAGATTGGTCTGACAAATTATTCTACAGGACCAAGAAAATATTAATATCCTCATGTGTTGTTTTAGGGCATCTGGATAGATAAGAAAGTAGCGAACCATGATCGCTAATGTTTGTTTCAGATCTAAAGAAGAAGAAGAAGAAGAAGAAGAAGAAGAAGAAGAAGAAGAAGAAGAAGAAGAAGAAGAAGAAGAAGAAGAAGAAGAAGAAGAAGAAGGAGAAGAAGAAGAAGAAGAAGAAGAAGAAGAAGAAGAAGAAGAAGAAGAAGAAGAAGAAGAAGAAGAAGAAGAAGATGAAGAAGAAGATGACGAAGAAGAAGAAGAAGACCAGTCTAATAAATAAATAAGTACTAGAAATATAGTAGCGAATCCTGGAAGAACAAATGATGGAACAAGAAATCTGCAATGTGTGCCTGTGCTTTCAGAAAGCTAATCAACATTATCTAGCTGGATAGCTAAAAAAAACCCCAACCCCTTACCAACCTTCCTCCCACCTTCCTACAAGATAACGAAACAAAAGTAAAGATAGCTGGATAGCTAAAAGAAACCCCTAAACCTTAACCCCCAAACAACCTCCCTCCCTCCTTCTGACAAGATAACGAAACAAAAGTAAAGATAAAAAAGTAAAGAAAAGATTCTGAAACGGGAAAACAAGTGACCTTGACCTATGAACTTTGTATGACGTAATTAATCAAGAAATGTTGCGGCACCTGATTCAGATTCCAGGCCGCGCTCAGGTACTGTGTGTACCTATCCCTGTTCACTTGAGCTCGCAGCGCCCTCATGTAGCGCACGGCTTGACCTGTGGTCAGTCCTTCCATGGACACTTTGCACTCGGCACTCCCTTGGTAGAAGGCTGCACTGGCTGCGGAGGACGTCATGTGGATCTGGGGGAACACAATTATTTGATCTGATTGCGTGAGTGTGCGGTGTAAATAGACAATGAGCCGGGGGGGGGGGGGGGTACGTGGGTGGTATTTACCTCTTGTAAATGACGATAGAAAAAAAATAATTTTTCTTCTGTGTACCCCAACCTAAGAGCTCATTTTTTTTTCATAGCTCAGACACACTAACTAAAATAAAATTAGCACCAGCATCGAACTTTAATGTCAAGTAGGGGCCGCAAAATATCGTCCTGGGGTTGTAAATTGGCCCGCGGGAACGGTTTTGAGACCAATGTAAAAGCGCCGAGCTGGTTTAATCTGAGATGAGATAAAACAGACAAAAGAAGGGAAAGGATAAAACCAAACAAGACAGCATTTTGTCTTCGCTATCTCACCAGTTTATTTACAAAAACTAATGTACAGAAAAGTGGGAAGACATGGAATAACATCAAGAGGCTAGAACAGGATAGAGGAAGGTGGAAAGTGTTTGTCCGTGGTCTATACTCTGGTGCAGGGTGAGAAAGGCAATGATGATGATGATCTCACCAGTTTGAGGAAATCCTCCTCAAAGTTGCCCGAATCTTTCATGCGGCGTCCAACGAAGTAAGTGGTGGGAGCTGCGGACCCGACATGGAGCCGTATCTTGGAGAACTCGAGAAGCGACGGCACGCGGTACGACTCGATGTTCTCCCGAGGGAGGTGGCGAGGCCGCTCAAGATGTTCCACGTGGATGATGGCTCCCTGGGAAGAAAAGGTAAATGGAAAAGTTAATTTTAAGTCTCCAATTCAGAACTTACTTGACACAGTTCGAATTTTCAGGGTCTCCACTCTATGCCAGGTCATTTTTGGGTCATCATGCTGTTGTGAAAAAAGACACTTTCCACGTATGGGAGCTCTTTCCACCTGTTAACAATTTTGCTTTAGGAATCGAATAAGGTCAAGAAAGAGCTAAAGATTACAGGTGTTACAAGGGAATAACAAACACAAAAAGAAGGAGGAGAGATAAGATCAACAAGCGTTTATAAGAAAGAAGGAGAAAACCACACCAGAGCACCACCTGCCAACTATCCTTTTTCTATCTCTGTCAACGCAAAGTATGTAAAGAACCAGGATACATCTGTTGAAGATTCAAATGAGCACCATCCGGGGTGTCGTCATCGTGATTCCAAGTAAACTAACAGTCTGACGGGAAGTGGGAAAGTTGTATCCCTATCAACCCTGGCAGTCCCTGACAGGTAAGGTCAAAGCCTGCCTTCAAAATGGTCTCGAGGGGGCGAAAAACACCTACATTTTGAAGGGGAAAAGGATGTGTGTGTGGGGGGGGGGGGGGTCGAGGCCATGGAGAGCGAGTTCATGGAAAAGGCTGAGAAGGATGAAATATTCTTCCATCCTTGTTGGTGTGACTAGTGCTAGCGCCCTGGCCTAAATGAAATAAAACCGACAAAATTAATTATTGTCCTCAATTTGTTTTGGTCCCCACTAGTTCTGCTGACCCTACAGATTTTCTTGGTTCTTCCATAGTGATGGAGAAAATAACTAAAGAGAGCAAAACAGTATCTGGTTTACAACGTCCAGGTCATACCTGCATCCACTCGTTGAAGCGGGTGGTGCCCAACAGATGACCATCTCCGGGATCCGTGAGCGACATGTAGGTCTGGCAGTGGGGTCTGAACCCGGGCGACCCATGAGGACGATGCGGCTTGCAGGTGATCTGACCACCTGGGATGTTATACACAAAGAGTTGATGCGATTGGTGACGTGTGAAAAACGAAAGTTAGAGGGGAAAAGAAACAACTTTTCTCTGATCGCCTGAGTAACCTTTACCACTACATGATCATCGAAAGCAACACCGGCAGTAATATCAACAACGACAACGACAACAATATGGCAAAATATATTAACAAAAGAAAAGATAATAAAAGGATAGGAAGAGCTGTGTTTAACATAGACAGAAAAATCTTTTTGAAAAGAGCTCAACCACCTCCACCCTCACTACCATAGTAATCATCACCACTTCCGCCATCAGCTTCCCTACCACCACCAACACATTTACCACCACCTTTCACCAACATCACCACCAATCACAACAACAACGGCAACAACAACAACAACAACAACAACAACAACAACAACAACAACAACATATTCAACAGTACTTGAAATGCTGACAACAACAGCATATTATTGCAGGTACACACCGACGAGCTGCAAGCAACAAAAAAACCCCGAACAACCAAACATACAAGATCAAACAAACAACAACTCTACCCCACCTTTCCCTATGACGTTGTAGGCAGCCTCCAGAGCCAGTTACTCGCAACCGACGAGCCGCCAGCATAAACCAAAAACAAACAAAAAACAAACTTGCAAACAAAGAAACAAGATGGAAAAAAAAACTAAACAACTCTACCCCACCTTTCCCTATGACGTTGTAGGCAGCTTCCAGAGCCAGGTACTCGCAACCGACGAGCCGCCAGCACAAAAACAACAAAAAAAACAACAACAAAATTTGCAAACAAAGAAACAAGATAGAAAAAAAATCAACAACTCCACCCCAGCAACCGACGAGCCGCCAGAACAAAAAAAGAAAACACACCAAAAAACAAACGAACAACCAAACACACAAGATCAAACACACAACAACTCTAGCCCCACCTTTCCCTATGGCGTTGTAGGCAGCCTCCAGAGCCAGGTACTCGGCGGGTGTGTACTGTCTCCTCTCGTCCCGGACCGCCTGACACATCGAAGTGACGCTTTCCAGGAACTCCGCACACAGGACGTCACGACTCCAGGTCAGCTGCAGGCAGTTTAGCGCTTCGTCGACGGTGAACCTGAGGGAAAGAAGAAAGTATAGATTTTCAAGGGCTTTGTCAAATGATAGAAAGAAGAAAGTATAAATGTGCCAGGCTTCGTCAACGCAGAACCTGATAGGAAAGAAGAAAGTATAGATTTTCAGGAGCATCGCCAATGATAGAAAGAAGAAAGTATAAATGTTCAAGGGTTCGTCAAACGGTAGAAAGAAGAAAGCATGTCAATGTTCAAAGGCTTCCTCAACACTGAACCCGATTCAAGGGATTTGTCAATGATAGAAAGAAGAAAGTATAAATGTTCAGGGGCTTCGCAATGATAGAAAGAAGAAGTTATGTTAATGTTCAAAGGCTTCCTCAACACTAAACCTGATAGAAAGAAGAAAGTATAAAGGTTCAGGGGTTTCTTTAAGGTTGAACCTGATAGAAAGAAGAAAGAAAGTATGTTTTTTAAGGGCGAAAGACACAGAGTTTCTGACCCGTGGGAAAATAACAAAATAGAGAAATTAAAAAACCCAACAACTTCGTTTCTCCAAAAAAAATAAAAATTTTAAAGATGGAGGAAAAAACACCACATTTTCTCTAGATCTAATCGCCTGCAAAACCACTACCACACCACTACCAACAACAGCAACACCAGCAGCAATATCACAAGATACGATAGGATAAGATAATACTTTATAATCCCAGGGGGAACTTTTTCTTGGCTGTACAGGACAGTAAAAACACATGCAGGTATACATACAAATTTAAATTATATATTACTCTCATTAAAATTCAATATGAAAAAATAAGAAGTAAAGCTGACAAAATGTACATATCACATGAGATATCACAACAGACAACAACACTATAAAAAATATAAGAACGTTAGCTGAACTTGATCGAAAGAAAGTTTAAGTTTTCAACAGCTTTTTTTGATATCCTACAAGAGAGACGAGCAGGCAAAAAAATTGTTTCATTTGCCAACTCCCAGCCTTGCGCACAGTCGACACAGTTCGTCTCCTAAAGTGTAATACATTAATTTGTGTCGATCAGGTGGGGCGTAAAGTGTTGATTACTTTTTAATTTGCACAGAGGAGAAGGTTCTGTAAAATTATCTACTTTGTTTATGTATATACATACATATATAATATTATATATATAATCTCGAGACTCCACTTTATTTAGTTCATCAGACCAACCTGAAATAGCCGTTGCCTTCAGTGGGTACCACACCCACAAAAACCTCGTTCTCCACACCCCACTCTTTGACTACGCCCACACACAAGCGGAAGATCTTGAGGATGTGGTTGAGCATGTCACGTGATGAGCGATCTTTGACGATCAGGTCAGTGACCTCTTGGAAGCTGTGGACGGGAAGTCAGGTGTTACAGTATGTTAGTTGGACTATTCAGAGATGTGAACAATGCCTGTAAGTTTAGTGACTATTTATTTTGCAAGAGCCCCTTTATTTCGTTATTGTTTTTCCTAGACTAAGTATATTATTTCTGAAGAAAGTACTAAAAAGTCCCCTTAAAGGTCTGTATCATAGATATTCTTTATTCTTATGAAACAGTTTATATTCCAGAGAAGCAAAAACAGAAATGTTATGTAAATGGAAACAGTTAACGAAATCAATTAATGTTTTAATAAGTTGACTGTTCAGAGATATACATTTTGAGCTGTTCTGAAACACGAAAAGAATTTCCTTGTCCAGCCGTTAATTAAGAAAAAAACTAATTCAAAAACCTCAACAACATAAAAGAACAGAATAAATGAGTAAATAGACTAATTAATGAATAGGAAAAGCAATAGATTATCATTTCATATTATTCTCCAAGGATTTTAACCTCTTCACAGTTGTGTTCTCTTCATTTTTTTATAGGCCTTATAGAGGAAGTTTTTGCGGATATAACTACAACTTTTGCAGTTTCGTATTCGGAAATGAGGGGAAAGTTATTATGACTTTGTTTTTAATCTTTCTGGAATGAACATTCCATTTTTATCTCATCTATACTACAATACTCCCTCCGAGACCTAAGATTTACGACACGCTCTATGGAACATAGCAGCTACTGCAGCAAACCTGCACACATGGCATAAGATAGGAGGGTGAGGGCCTAGCTGTTACTGGATCGATAACAGCAACAACAAAAACACAACAACAACAACAACAACAACAACAACGACGACGATGACAACGAAGACGACGACAACGACAACAGCAACAAAAACAGCAGCAGCAACAACGAGAACAACATCTCGGCTATACAACATACATGGAAACCTCTCATTCTTGAAAGGGTTAAAGATTATCAATACGGCCTTTGGGAAAGGGGGGGGTGGTTTCCATATTTTGATACGTACATCTCAATTTTCCCTGCCTGTTCGGGAAACACAAACTTCAGCCTCTCGTCCAACTGCTCCCTGATGGCGCTCTCGTCCACTGACGTCATAATGGCTAGCTCCTTGTTGGAGCAGAACTTCTTGTCGTGACGTAAGCAATCTAATTTGACCCGGATGTTGCACAGGTTGGTCAACATCGTCTGCAGACTGCTGAGTGCCACCTGGCGGAGAGTTCCCACCCCCAGGGTCTTGGAGGGCTGGCGTTCCATGCGTTGAATGTTGGACTTTTGTCGATAAAAAATTTATGTTATCGATTATTTTAAGAGACCGTATGATTAGATGCATCTTTATTGTCTAGATCCTGGCACATTGGTTTGGTGTTTCACCACGAACACACCAACACACGCACACGAACACACGCACACACGAACACACACACACACGCACACACACACACACACACACACAGTCATGCGTGATATAAATGAACAGTGATATAAAAAATAATCATCTTTAGTTAGATACATACTCCGTATACTAACTGTAACCCAATGTTATTCTGATGCATGCTCTAAGGTCATACGAATACTTGTAACAAGATGGTTAAGGTGGAAGGATTTTGATGGATGATGGTAAAAAATTACCTTCTATATCTTTCTTTGTTACAGATCAGAAGCCTAGGTCTTTTACTTCTGATTAATGTTTTTATTTGAGGGAAGGGAGTGGTTGCAGTAGTAGTAGTAGTAGTAGTAGTAGTAGTAGTAGTAGTAGTAGTAGTAGTAGCAAGTGTTAATAAAAGTATGTAGCAGTAGGGCAGAAGAAATTCCAACAATGACAGGGGGTAACAGCGTATCACTACCACTACCAATAACTACAACAATAGTGATTTGAATAACAACAACAACAATAACAACACAAGTAACTCGACCTCCACAATAATCATCAACAACAACAACAACAACAACAACAACAACAACAACAACAACAACAACAACAACAACAACATTGTAATGACGACGGCAATGACAAAAATTAATGCAGCAACCACAAAACGTGCAGCAACAGTTGTTTCAATGTTTCTTATAAAGAAAAAAAAATCTAGCAGGTTGGCGAATAGAGAGAACTATTACTTTAAAGGAGCAGTCTCGAGAAACTTAGACTTGCAAAGTTTGAAAATAACGATGAAAAGAGCAACACCAAAGAGGACAATACATGAAAAGAATGCAAAAGCAAACAAAAACAAACAAACAAAAAATGACAAAACAAAAACAAACACAATCAACAAACAACAAAATATTACTTGAAAAAATATCCCCGCCCCCCCCCAAAAAAAAAAGAAAAAGAAAAAAAATTTAATTACAAATTTTTTAAATCCTTACCGAGTATGTCTGTCTCTGAGACCCAGAAACAGTTTCTTGGTTTTGATCCATCTTTGTATTCAGTTCACTTTTAGCCCAAAAAAACCTCACAATAAATATTTCCTGCGTAAAAGGGACGAAATGTTCAGCTGGAGACTTGCACATTATAATAATTACATTTGTGGAGATTAAATAAGTTAAAAAAAACAAATGATTGACGAGCTGCTTGCACTAAGATACCATTTTCATTGCCCATACTCACAATCCCCCCCCTCTCTCTCTCTCTCTCTCTCTCTCTCTCTCTCTCT